CCCACCCGTCCTCCATCCCCCCTCCCCTTGTCCTCTATTCTCCATCCCATTGTCCCCCATCCCATTGTCCCCTTGTCCTCTATTCTCCATCCCATTGTCCCCCATCCCATTGTCCCCCATCCCATTGTCCCCCATCCATCCGTCCTCCATCCCCTTGTCCTCCATCTCTCCACCCCATTGTCCTCCGTCCGTCCATCCATCCATCCATCCTCCATCCCGCTGTCCTCCATCCCTCCCCCGCCCCCATCCCGGCGCCCACCCATCGGCACAACGATGTTGGCGAGGATGCAGATGCCGGCGAGCGCCAAGGAGCCGCCCTGGGCCACCCTCCGGCCCACGCAGCTGATGGCCAGCACCGAGGCCAGCTTGGCCGGGATGTCCACAGCCCCGAAGACCAGCTGGCTCAGGTAGATGTCCACCCCGAAGCCCTGCAGATCCATGGCCAGCCCGTAGTAGGCGAAGCTGGTGGAGAACCTGGCCCCAAAACCCAGGAGTTCAACGCAAAACCCAAGTGGGCACCAAAAAAGTGGGGTTTGGCCCCTAAAAGGTGGGGTTTGGCCCCTAAAAGATGGGGTTTGTCCCCCAAAAGGGGGATTTGGCCTCCTAAAGGTGGGTTTGGCCCCTAAAAGGGGGGGGTTGACCCCAAAAAGGTGGGGTTTGACCCTCAAAAGATGGGGTTTGGCCTCCTAATGGTGGGTTTTGGCCCCCAAAAGGTAGAATTTGACCCCTTTAAAGGTGTTTTTTGGCCCCCAAAAGGTGTTTTTTGGCCCTCAAAAGATGGGTTTTGGCCTCCAAAAGGTGGGTTTTGGCCCTCAAAAGATGGGTTTTGGCCTCCAAATGATGGGTTTTGGCCTCCAAAGGGTGGGGTTTGACCCCTAAAAAGGTGAGGTTTTGGCCTCCAAAGGTGTTTTTGACCCCAAAGGTGGGGTTTGACCCCCAAAAGATGGGGGTTGGCCTCCAAAAGGTATTTTTTTGACCCCCCAAAAGGTGGGGTTTGGCCCCAAAAAGGTAGTTTTTGACCCCAAAAATGTTTTTTAATCCCCAAGAGGTGGGTTTTGACCCCAAAAAGGTGGGGTTTGGCCCCTCCAAAATTGTTTTTGACCCCAAAAAGCTGGGGTTTGACCCCCAAAAGGTAGTTCTTGGCCCCCAAAAGGTGGGTTTTGGCCTCCAAAAGGTGGGTTTTGAACCCCCAAATGTGGTTTTTGATGGCCAAAAGGTGGGGTTTGGCCCCAAAAAGGTGGGGTTTGGCCTCTAAAAGGTGGGGTTTGGCCCCCAAAATAGGTTTTTGCCCCAAATAGGTGGGGCTTGGCCTCCAAAAGGTGGGGGTTAGCCCCAAAAATGTAGGTTTTGACCCCCCAAAGGTGGATTTGGCCCCCAAAAGGGGGATCTGGGCCCCCAAAGGTGGGATCTGGGCCCCCCAAAGGTGGATCCGGGCCCCCCAAAGGTGGATTTGGCCCCCAAAAGGGGGATCTGGGCCCCCAAAGGTGGGATCTGGGCCCCCCAAAGGTGGATCCGGGCCCCCCAAAGGTGGATTTGGCCCCCAAAAGGGGGATCTGG